AAAACTCTTCGCCGCCTGCAGAGGGCGCCGTACAGCTCAGGCTGAAGGGACCGCTGGGCGTTTTAGGGCAGATGAAGCCGCTGAGGCGTCACGTGATTCTGACTGCGGGCTGAACCCAGGCGCGCCCCGGAGAGGGACAGGGAGTGGAGACCACGAGGAAATCCTAGGCTGGGATGCTGGAAAAGTTTCCAGCCCCCCCTAAAAAAAGAGGCACTTTCCTGGTCCCCAGCAGATAAATTAGTCTGGGAAATATCATGGAGTCCAGCTCAACTGAAAAGAGGCTTCGTTGTTTTTTTCCCTCCCTCAGTTTGGGGAATGCATGGCGGCTCAACGTCTTCCAATGTCAAAGTCTGGTCTTGGGGTGTAGACTTATGTGAGCTACTGACATTCCTCCCCCATGTGCATAGGTCTCTTGCGTGAGCAGGGGGTTGGATTAGATGACCTCCAAGGTCCCTTCCAGCTCTGTTACCCGTTACCTCAGTAAGTAGCAGCACTCGGCCGATGCTTGGAAGCCAAGCATTGGGGAACCCGGTGGTGCTATTGGGGAGCTCATTGCAACGCTGGGTGCGAGCTTTGGTGTGTAGATGCACTGTTTTGACTCGCAGAACTGAAAGGCAGGCGATTGTAGGGTTGTGTGGCTCAGGTGTTGGGCCGGAAACTGGGAGACTGTGAGTTCTAGTTTTGCCTTCAGAATAAAAGCCAATTGGGTGACTTTGGGGCCAGTCAGTTTTTCTCAGCCCAACCCAACTCATAGGATTATTGGGGGGGGGGGGGGAAATAAGAGCATCCTATATGTACATCACCTTGAATGGATAAAAAATAAAGGTAGGATTAAAAAAAATAAATAGGACAGGGCTTGTGTCACTGTACACCCACCCTGTTCCCATGCCACCGACCTGGTTAATTTTTGGTTGGGGGACTAGGAACTCTCGTGACTGTAAACAGGATTAAAAGGTAAAAACTGTACAATCCTTAGTGCTCTCTAAGCTGGCTGTTTGCTTGCAGATGTTTTGGTTGCCTCACTAATGAAAGATTTACAAGCGAACAACCAAGCTCAGCACCAAGGATTCCACAGTTGAATCATGAACTACAAATATTCTCTTTTATTGGAAGATAAAAAAACCCAAAACAACAACTGGGAATAAAGCAACCACCAATTACTCCCTACCAAAAAAGCTTTCCAGGATAAGAACATAAACTCATTAGGATGAATTCATTGGCCAACACTTTTTCAACAGAGCCTCACTCAGCTTAGGAGACCCTTTTGTTAACCCCATGCTTAGAAAGGGTTACTGTTTTTGTGCATTTTCTATTTAATATTCCTTGCTTTGAATTTAAACATAGCTTCAAAATAGCTACCCCCACCCCCTTGTTGGCTGAATGTATTTTATTACTCTGGTTTTATGAATAAGTTAGAATGGTTGTGCAAAAACATTACTTTAAAAAATATATGATCAAACCCAGATACCTGGTTGTCTTGAGGCATGTTGTCATTTTACTTTGCAACAAAATTGCAAAGTAAATAATAATAAATAATAAAATAATTTATTTTTATTTTATTATTTTAGAAATAATAAAAAAATAATTAAACATTCAGCTGTGACTTTAGGGACAGAGGATAGAATTTTGCTTTAAAAATACGTTGACGAAGATTCTCATTTTCTTCTTATTTTCTTTTGCTTTGAAAAGTTCCACTGCTGATCCAAGTAGTTTCTTCAGACTGAGCAGTTTGGTTAGGGGAACCCAATATATATATGTCCTCCAGGGTGGTTTCATTTCTCACCTAATTTGAATAAGCTCATGAGGCAGAAATTGGGTTGCTCCTAAATCTTTTCTCCTAGGTGGGTGGTTAAGTTATGCTTTAAAATCAAAAGCATAAAAGGAGAATATGCAGTGGGGCAAAAAAGTATTTAGTCAGCCACCAATTGTGCAAGTTCTCCCACTTAAAAAGATGAGAGAGGCCTGTAATTGTCATCATAGGTAGACCTCAACTATGAGAGACAAAATGAGAAAACAAATCCAGACAATCACATTGTCTGATCTGGAAAGAATTTATTTGCAAATTATGGTGGAAAATAAGTATTTGGTCAATATCAAAAGTTCATCTCAATACTTCGTTATATATCCTTTGTTGGCAATGACAGAGGTCAAACGTTTTCTGTAAGTCTTCACAAGGTTGGCACACACTGTTGCTGGTATGTTGGCCCATTCCTCCATGCAGATCTCCTCTGGAGCAGTGATGTTTTGGGGCTGTTGCTGGGCAACACGGACTTTCAACTCCCTCCAAAGGTTTTCTATGGGGTTGAGATCTGGAGACTGGCTAGGCCACTCCAGGACCTTGAAATGCTTCTTATGAAGCCACTCCTTCGTTGCCCGGGCGGTGTGTTTGGGATCATTGTCATGCTGAAAGACCCACCCACGTTTCATCTTCAATGCCCTTGCTGATGGAAGGAGGTTTGCACTCAAAATCTCACGATACATGGCCCCATTCATTCTTTCCTGTACACAGATCAGTCGTCCTGGTCCCTTTGCAGAGAAACAGCCCCAAAGCATGATGTTGCCACCCCCATGCTTCACAGTAGGTATGGTGTTCTTTGGATGCAACTCAGCATTCTCTCTCCTCCAAACACGACAAGTTGTGTTTCTACCACAGTTCTACTTTGGTTTCATCTGACCATATGACATTCTCCCAATCCTCTTCTGGATCATCCAAATGCTCTCTAGCAAAGTTCAGACGGGCCCGGACATGTACTGGCTTAAGCAGGGGAACATGTCTAGCACTGCAGGATCTGAGTCCCTGGCGGCGTAGTATGTTACTGATGGTAACCTTTGTTACATTGGTCCCAGCTCTCTGCAGGTCATTCACTAGGTCCCCCCGTGTGGTTCTGGGATTTTTGCTCACCGTTCTTGTGATCATTTTGACCCCACGGGGTGAGATCTTGCGTGGAGCCCCAGATTGAGGGAGATTATCAGTGGTCATACAAGACCACTGTCTTCCATTTTCTAATTATTGCTCCCACAGTTCATTTCTTCATACCAAGCTGCTTGCCTATTTCAGATTCAGTCTTCCCAGCCTGGTGCTGGTCTACAATTTTGTTTCTGGTGTCCTTCGACAGCTTTTAGGTCTTCACCATAGTGGAGTTTGGAGTGTGACTGTTTGAGGTTGTGGACAGGTGTCTTATACTGATAACAAGTTCAAACAGGTGCCATTAATACAGGTAATGAGTGGAGGACAGAGGAGCCTCTTAAAGAAGAAGTTACAGGTATGTGAGAGCCAGAAATCTTGCTTGTTTGTAGGTGACCAAATACTTATTTTCCACCATAATTTGCAAATAAATTCTTTCCAAATCAGACAATGTGATTGTCTGGATTTGTTTTCTCATTTTGTCTCTCATAGTTGAGGTCTACCTATGATGACAATTACAGGCCTCTCTCATCTTTTTAAGTGGGAGAACTTGCACAATTGGTGGCTGACTAAATACTTTTTTGCCCCACTGTAGGTTTTCATGTATTCCCTCACTAATCTTTTGGTTATTTGTTTAGTTTTATTGGGAAAAACTGATTTTTCAGTAAAACTAAATAATTTTATAAAACTTTTCAACCGGTATTCAAGGCCAGTTTCAGTCAAACTGCAGAGCAATAAACATGAGGTTGAAGAAATATGCATTAGATGAGGGGTGTCAAACTCAAGGCCCGGGGGCCGGATGTGGCCCATGGGGTGCTTAGATCTGGCTGGTGGGGCTGCCCTGGAAACAGCGAAGGACAGGATGCAGGCCTCTGCCAGGGAAATCAAAGCTTGCAAGGGCCATGGGTGGCCCTCCCAAGCTCTGTTTTCCCTGGCAGGGGGTTGCAGGAGGCAGTTGTAGGTGAAAATGGAGCTTGGGAACCCGTTTTCACTGGCAGAGTGCTTGGGCCATCACAGGTGCCCCCACACAAGTGATGTTGAGCTGACCATGCCCACCCTGACCACCCCGGCCTCCCAATGTCAAACACAACCCTGATGCGGCCCTCAATGAAATTGAGTTTGATACCCCTGCAGTCTAACTAGACAGTTTTAGATTGATGCTAATCTTGGGATTACTTTTCTTTGCTCCAAATTATTCGGGGAGAAAACTTCTTCCATCTTTATTCTGCTCTTCTGCCCTTTTTATTTGTTTGCTTTATTTTTCCGAGTAGTAGAATATTCTGTGGAGTTCTTGGTGCTCTTTCTGAGTTTGGTTGGTTGCTTGTAGGCATTTCATTATCTGTCTAGGTAACATTATCAGTGATAGTAAAGGGGAGTTGGTCCCTGTTTATATACAATAGCTTGCTCTTCCAGTGTCGGGGTATGTATGGTTTTCTCCTTGGGAGTTCCTTGATTAGGATATTGTTTTCTGCTTGATTGTTTGTGTGATGTTAATGCCTACTTATCTGAATGCTGCTATTGGAGGTGATACGTTCTGGTCTTTTTTTTTTTGTTCCCTTCTTCTCTTTTTGTTGTCTCTTTTGCCTGACATGTAAATATGCTTTATTTATATGTGTCTATTGATGGCTGATTGGTCTGCCAAATTTCCAGGAATTACCTAGTGTTTTGGATTTAGTTTGATCTAGAATGTTCACTGTTTTCCCCTTGAAAATATGATTGAGATTATGTTGTGAGATTAAGGCACTGTGATTATTTTTCTTTTGCAGTTGATTTGTTGTGTATTTTCTATTTTTATGGACATACAGTTCTCCTATTTATTCATTAGTCTGTCCCGTCTATTCCCAGGCCATACCAATTTAAAATATTGGCATAGTTCAACTGTAGCATGATACCATTAAGCCATAATGAGGTTTGCTTGCCTTTTATTTTAGTTATGTGAGACATCTGTTGTATTTAGCATTATATGCAGACTTAGCTATTTTGATTTAGTCAGCTAAATATGTCCTAGCTTAATGCTATATGTGAATCAGGTACTATGACTTGTTTTGTTTATGATCTCAGGTGTTTCCTATGGTTACAATTGTGTATGCAAATATCCTAAGGATTTTTCCTTATACCCTCCCTATGCTCCTTGTCTGTCAATGTTATGCTTTCGTTCTGTCAACATCTTCTCTGTATTGAATATGTGATCACTTCCTGTCTTAGAACATAAGCTGATTATTCTCTGACAAGCTGAAATAATGGTGTGTATGACGTAACCTAGTTTAACTGAAAAAAACGGATTATTATTCACATGCAATATATTTGAGGAGCTCTTTTGTTTTTGTATAGGCAGCAGAAGACGTTAACGTTACTTTTGAAGATCAGCAGAAAATCAACAAGTTTGCTAGAAACACCAGTAGAATTACAGAACTAAAAGAAGAAATAGACGATAAGAAGGTAACCGAAATCAGACAGTTCTTGAATCAAATCAAATAAATGTTTTTTTCTGTAAGGTTAATTGGCAAAAATATGTGCGCTACCATCCAAAGCCTTATGCTTTGGTTCATTTTATGCCAGTGGTATTCAGGAGAACTGGCAATGGTACAAATAGAAGCTCAGGTTTCTCTCGCTGATTCAGCAGAGTGGGAAGAAATTTGCTGCATAAATATTTATTCTACCAGGTTATAATATTATTGGCATATATTTCTCCTTTTGGCTAATTGTGTTAGGTAAAGTTTGATGTGACCTCAAATGGGCCACAAAAGTTTTCAGAATTGCTGGGAGTTGAATGGTGTACAAATGTTATCTCAGGATAGTAACTCATTTTTCCACAAAATTAAACATAACCACACTTTACTTTTCCCCTGCAAGAGCGAGACTCAGTATTCTGTTATATTCTACATTTCTCTGAACATGGATAATTTTTTATAAAGATAAGCCAACCACACAGCCATATTGTTAAGAGAACATTTTAAATCTAAGTAAGGACTTTGTCAAACCTATTATGACTGTGTGGAAATTAAAACCAATTCAATCAAGTCACCAAATTGAATCATGAGGCTGGGTGTTTCAAAATCAGTTTAAATCAACTCACCTTGTAGAATCATATTGACAGTTCATATGCCATTAAACCTATAACTATATTTTAATCACTTAAATTTATCTTTTTCAGTGTTGAGAGATAGGCCTAGCTGATTCTACTCTCTTGAATTTTGTTCCAAAGCTGTTTCTTAGATAGTCACAGCTAGTTTAGAATTACATACATATATACATGCATACATGTGTGTGAATGTGTGCATGAACATATAATGGTTTATCCTAAGTTGAATTACAATCCATATCATGATGATGGCTAAATCGGTGAGAAAATAACTTGATTTCTTAAACACAGAAACAGCTCCAGAACCTGCAAGATGCTTGTGATGACATTCTGGTGCTTGACGATGATTCATTATTGATACCATATCAAATTGGAGATGTCTTCATTAGTCACCCCCAAGTTGAAACAGAAGACATGTTGGAGGAGGCAAAGGTAAGTTCTGTTCCTTGTGCTACTTCTGTGGCTCTCTTAAGATATTTCAGGAAGAAAAGATAGGGGTTGGGGGAGGGGGGGAACTGGCAAATATTTTTCTAGGTAGCCTTCTTTCTTCTATTGTATCTAGAAATCACTTGTTTTTCTTGCTCTCAACAATTTTTCAGCATCACAGTTCAAAGACATTGATTTGTTGCTGTTTTTGTTCAGTCTTTCTGATTGCCAACTTTCGCAGCTATGAAAACCATGAGTTGGCAATTTGTAGCTTTGTCATCAATGTGATGTTCTCTGATATTGAGCCTAAGATTGGTTTTTGCACTCTCATTTTTCAAGTTCAACAAAAGATGCATGAAGACTTTCTTCTTTCCAAAATAATATCATCAGCATATCTGTATGTTTTCTTTTTCCTGACAATGTTCACACCGTCTTCTGTTTCTTTCAGTCTCATAAGAAGTCCAGCATATACATTGAATTTATAGAGTGACAATATTTAACTTTGGTGTGCTGCTTTTCCAGTTTTGAACTTATGAATGGCTCCATATTCCATTCTCATTGTTGTTTTCTGGACCACATAATAATTCATGCCCAGTGTTGTCCAGATAAAGCATTCATGCTAGAGTAACATTAAAACAATAAAAATAATAATATATATAAAAACTTCAAATTGGTGAAACATTTTAAGTATGCATATAAGGTGGTCTGATGGATTCATATTTTTAAAAACTATAACTCATGATCTTCTGAATCAGAAGTCTAATCAATAAAGGAAAAACAGTTGTTTTAGTCATTAACAAATGTGCTAATCTTTAAGGTGACATAGAATCTTTATTGATTTTGTTGTAATAGAGGAATGTTTGGAAGGGAAAATGTTTCCTTGAAATTTTTACTTAACATTTTTCCATTTTTTTTTTCTTTGCCAGAAAAACTTACAGGAAGAAATTGGAACTTTGGAAGCACAAGTGGAATCCATCCAAAAAGTATTATCAGATCTTAAAGTCCAGCTTTATGCAAAGTTTGGCAACAATATAAATCTCGAGGCAGACGATAATTAAATAGGAATAGAAATAGTATTGGATGTTTTTGTACTAATTATTTTTGCTTCATGGTCAATTTTTTGAGAAACCCCTTTTTTCTTTAAATTACATTTTTGTTTCATGTATTTAATTACATACATTCTTATTTATATGTTTAAACAAATTTGTCCAAATTCTCTGGTGTGTTATTAAAGGTGGGTGCTTACAAGTTTACTGAAAAAAGTAATAAAGCTCACAGAAATATTCTTTTTTCATGCCTATTATATAAGTACATTTTAGAAAAAAACACATTTTTAAACATTAGCACAAGACAGTTCATTGAGAAAAAACACAGATTACAGTTTCAATATTTAACAAAAAATATCACTCAAAATGCATATTTGAAAGAGATAGGAAAGCTTAAAAACCAGTTCTGTAGAGCAGCCTAATCCAATAGAAGATTCTTTCCAAGAGGAAAAATATACACTTGCTTTGTAAACTATATGCTATGTTTGTTGATTTTCAAGATTTACATTTGATTATCATTTAACTCAATCTCAAGGAGGAAGTTTGGAGTAATTTTAAACAAGAACATTGGCATTATTTTGTACAAGTGAACATTTGTGTATTAATTGTGGAAAAAACCCCAACATTTGGATTTTTTTTTTCAAAAGTTGAAGGGACAAATGATCAGTTAATTATATAATTGAATAAGTTAAGCCATGTATGTATCTCTCTTCCAAAGCAAAAGGAAATTAAATACTCTAACTACCTATGCCACATTGAAGGTACAGAGAAGCATTGCAGTCAAGATTTTATGGAAATCAGGGAAATTCATTCTGGCAGCAATCAAGGTATTTCAAGCCAAACTTACAGTGCAAATGTAAGGAATTAAATTAGATCCATCTGTATATTTTACAACCTACAAACTGATCCGATCAGCTTTCCTTAAGGCTAGATGTCAGCGTTCCAAGTAATGCTCCCATAGAAAACAAATTCCGAGGCACAATTCGACACTATAATTGGTGTGTGTCTAATGTAGCCTTGAGGCTAGAAGACTTGCCAAGCATTGAAACCCAGTCCTGGTCCAGAATACTAACAACTTGAATCAGAGTTACTTTAAATCCCAGGGAATTACTAGTCACTGGAGAAATACAACGACAATTGGCAATTAATCTGTGAATACAAGTTTACTATCTATGGATTCTGATCTGAACACTTAAGTAAACTGGGATGGTTAAAGAAAGGAAAGCTGATATGGAACCTCAGAAGGGACTGACTCAAATCCCAGAAACTTACTATACATTGATGATGTAATTGGACTGATTGGACTGGCCAACAGTTTACATAATTTTATTTTTATGGATACAGATGAGTCCTTTTAAGAGCACATATTCAACACCAATAAGATTCTTTAGAATCTGCCAACACAGAGAAGGGAAAATAGACTCAAGTGACTTGTATTTTTTTAAGCTCTTCCTTTTCTGAAGCAGATCATATACAACAGACCTCAGCATTTTATGGTCCGTGGGTCATATCAGGCCCTTTGTGCTCTGAGATTAAGTGCTTTAGGGATAAAAAGCAGCAGCCAGTTTAGAAAACGAAAATTTACATTCTATTTATATATATATTTTCTTAATATTGGATGCTACAAAATTAAATACTGCCTTATTTTTAAGCGTACTTAACAAACAACCAAAATTCGGTAAACAAATAGACAAGTTTCATAGATAATAGGGTTTATAGGTTTAGTTCTTTAGGCTGTATAGATTCTATGTAATTTTCATGTTACAACAAATCTACAGTATATACAACTTGATGCTTTATTATTTTTTATTGTATTTTTTTATACTGGTCATCATAAAGTATTCTAAAGAAAACATGAGGATAGGGGATTGGATCTGGAGAAATGAAGGAGAATAAGGCGTTTTGTTTTTGTTTTAGGAAGTGATCTCATTCAAGCGTCTTTTTTAAAAAAAACTAGAGTTCAAATTTGGTGTCCCTCATGTGCATCTAGATTAGATTAGCAAGGAATTCTAGAAATGTACTGTAGGATGTATCCAGTGCATTATATCTAGGTATTTGTGATGAGATACACATTTTAAAATGAAAATTCCCAAATATGTTATTAATCATAATAATATTACACTTCTGCTATAGAAGCGTTATACTTCCACTTTGTCCTCCCATGTTGTTATTTTACTTGTTTTTTTTTTAATGTAGGAACATAAATGTATAATAATACAGTTAAATACTTTAAGAGGATTGGAGAGAGAGCAGTTTGCTTTTAGGGCACTCAGGAGTGTATGTATTAGTAGTATTAAGCCAACATACAGTACATACAGAAAATCCTGTAATAGTTTTAAAAATTGCTAAGATCAGACTAATTCTTAATTCTTTGTTTTTTTCATCAAATTAAATTGCTGTTACTTGGACAGTCCAAAAGATGGCACTACAGTGCTGACAATCCCAAATCTCAAGAAGAAAACTATTGCTCTAAAATAGTTTCATTTGGCAAAGAATTGCTAATAACAGTTTTGGGTTAGAATATAACATTGTCCTCTGACATCCTTTTTGCCCACAACAGTTAAATTAGTACATGTACCTAGATTTCTACATTCTGATTACAGATACAGTGGTACCTTGGTACTCAACTGCTTTGAAACACATAAAATTTGGTACTTAACACATTTTGATGTGAAAATTTTGTCCCAGTACTAACCTGTCAGTGCTGGCTGCCTTGTGACTCTCTACATTGTTCCTTATGGGAAAAAATTGTTTGGTACTCATCGTTTTTGGTACTCATTGCACCTCCCAGAACCAATTAATGATGGGTACTGAGGTACCACTGTATGTAAGTAGATTTCACACAGTTGCAGAAACAAGAGGTTAATAATCAGTGAGCCCTTCTTTCAACATTTAGCAATAATGGCCTTAGGGAACACGCGCAATCGGCCAGCAATAAATTAGGCTTATTAGCAATAGCAATAGCACTTAAACTTATATACCGCTTTACAATGCTTTACAGCCCTCTCTAGGCAGTTTACAGTCAGCATCTTGCCCCCCAAAATTTGGGTCCTCATTTTACCCACCTCGGAAGGATGGAACCTTGAGTCAACCTTGAGCCTGGTGAGATTTGAACTGCCAAATTGCAGACAGTGCAGAAGTAGTCTGCAGTTCTGCACTCTAACCACTGCGCCACCGCGGCTCTTCATGCACATAATACTGTTCAAAAGTGATGAAAGCAGATAGCATATTCAATATTGGCCTTTCCAAAGTTAACATTTAATTACATTTATTTGTAAATTAAAACTTCTACTTGTGTTGTGGCCCGCCAGCGGCCTGTGCGGATTGTAGCTGATTCTGACAGCGAGGAGGCTGGTGTGCTGTGCCAGCAGCCTGTGCAGCTGGCACCCGAGTCAGACGAGGAGGCTGGAGAAGATGTGGTGCCAGAGGCAGGGATTCAGCCAGGGCCTTCAGAACCTCCAGAAGCTCCTTTAAGTGAAGAAGACGAAGAGGAGGAGCCTCTTCTCGATGCATGGACGCACAGAGCTGCCAAAAGGCAGGAGTGACTCCTCAGGAGGAGGTCTCCTCAAGAGTAAGGCTTGGGGCTAATTGGCCACTCCCTTAGCCTATTTAAGGAGGAAGCCGACTGAAGCAAATTGTAGGGAACAACTTTAGTTCATTCTCTTTCACATCTGGATTCTCTGCAAATTGCTTCTGGGCATTCTGCCAACCTTAGTAAGATTGTGATTACTTTATCTTTGTTTTCTTGTAGGCTGTTAAGGAAGTTTATTAATAGCCTTTGTTTGAAAAAGACTGATTTATTTTAGTAAATTTAAGTTTTGTACAAACTTTGTGTGTGCTGTGTTCTTTGGGATCCGTAGCTGGGGCAGAACAACTTGATTCAGAATTAGGTTTCGTCAATCTCTGTTCCCTAAGCAGCACAGTTAAATATTTTCTTCATAGAAAAAGCCAGGGATGTGCACTTTGGAAAGGCAAAACTATCAAATGGAAACACAGGTTTTTAATCTTTTGATTTTTCTAGACTTTATCACTTGCATTTAAATAGCAACAGAGTATGTGGCATTGATGTGTGCTGAGAAAGTATTACATTCACAGCAAAGTTAAACTTCAGATGTTCTAGAATGGTGCTTTTGTAAATGCAAGCAATCATATACTAAATATATAGGTATATATTTATGTTTTCTGAGGTTTTCACGGGTGTTTGTATGTAGGTCTTTGGTTATTCGGGTTTTCTCCCGCATAAAATTGGAAGTGTCTTGGCGATGTTTCAACGAAGTCTCATTCGTCATCTTCAGGCTGGTGTATTCGGCTTCGTGCTTCTAGGAGCAATATTTATATATATACGTATACATATGCATACACACACACATATATATATATCAAATTTATATTTCGCTGATAAAGAAAGGGAGACTAGTATAGATCTATTTCAAGCTATTTAGCTCTCATCAGCTAGCCATACCCTTACTTGGATTTGAACTTGGGCTGCCTGCATGTTAGGCAGTTGTATTAACATACATACATACCTACATACATATAGGGATATACTGACCCACCCAAGATTCTCTCCCCACATGCTTTGCTAAAGAAAGGTGCCAAAAGCCACATTTTATAATGCTGCGAGATACACAATCCTTGAATGACCTTAAAATGTTTTTGAATTTGAGACAGAGCCATAAATAAGCTAAGTGTTCACTGGTTGTAGGTTGTAATACAAGTAATCCTCAATTTACGACCATTTGTTTAACAACTGTTTTGTAACAGCTCTGGAAAAGGAGACTTAGGATCATCTTCACACTTAACAACTGTCGGAGTGTCCCCACAGGCAGTCGATCAAATTTCAGGCACTTGATAACTGGCCTGTCTTTATGACAATTGCAGCATTTCGGGTTTATGTAATCACCATTTGCAACCTTCACAGGGGGCTTCTGACAAGCAAAATCAATGGAGAAGCTAGAATTGCTTAACAACCACATAATTTGCTTAACAACTACAGCAAAAAAGATTGTAAAGTTGGATGTGACTTTCTTAATGAAGGATGGAAGTGATGGAAGTTCCAGTTCCAATTGAGGTCATAAATCAAGGATTAAGTACAGAGTTGAACGTATGAATGAGATGTTCTGAAATAAATACAATATGTCATGAGAGGTCAATTTATGTATAAACAAGCTAGAGAGCTATAACTGGTAACAAAGGCCCCAGTAGGTATAGTAACTACTCAATCTTGACTGATCTCA